GCCATGTTGGCCAATCAGAAGCCTGAAAAAGTTTCCAGTAGGCGGAGATAACAGAGCAGGCTCCGACGTCACAAGCAAAAAACTCCAGTTTCGCTGTCTACACGATAACAACCGGAGTTTTTGAAAATCTTCACCCTGGCAGGCATTTTCAAAAATGTTCGGTTTCAGTGACCTGGTGCTGCGTTTGCGTGTGGACGAATGGCCAAACCGCGTAGAGAAAGCTGTGGTTTTAAAAATAACCGCGTTCGTGTGGACAGGGCCTAATTGGAGGTCATTTAATTGACCTCCATTAATTGGAGGTCATTTAGTGCATGATGCCCAGTCTTTCTCTGTAAACATTTTCAAAGTTTAAGACGACTACTGTTTTGAAATCTGTTCAGATTCTGAAAGTTGTGCATTTCAGCCATAAGATAAATTTCACTGTGCTTACAATTATGAGACTGATTCCTTGCTTCACAAAGGATATGTATCATGCTGCCTCAGAAATTATCCAAAATTAGAAATATTAGGAGGCAGGATAATGTAGCTGCTTACATGCTGCTCACGTCAGGAGTGCCCCCAAAATCCCCTTAAAATGCTGTCTTGGTAGGCAGCTCACTACATTTTTGAAAAGAGCTATTCTGTCTTTACTCATTTTGTAGCTAGTCCCTATAGAGGATTCTCATAGATTTTAACAATGGATGTCACTCCCCCCCCCCTTCCCTTCCTCTCTTTTCTGAAAGTAGTGATGGGCAGGAATGACATCAGCAAGAGTACATTCAGTCTGCATGACCCTAGTCCACTGATGAGGTATAGGAAAATGAAAGTAATATTCAAATCACGCCTTTGTTTTTTACCCAAGAAAAATTCACCAATTTATGTTTTTACAAAGTTAAACAGCTGTATCACCTCTTCTACACAAAGACACTCTTTGGATTCGAGAACTAGAAATAGGTGTGCACAGACAGCAAGGAAGGTACAGCAACACAGCAGTGACCACAACCTACAGTCTGTGTCCACTACACAAATGAGAACACACAGGTCAGAGAAGAGGTCAGCTGTTGCACAATGAAGCAAAGGAAAGATGTGAAAGGAGCAGTGTCTACAGCAGCAGGGCAGCGGGGGAGAGCAAGTTTAGTCGCTGTGGGAGTTCTGTACTGGTCTAGAAGTTTCTATGGAGACTATAGGGTGGAAAGGACAAAAAGAAACACTCTCTGTGACTCTATGGCTCAAACACACTGCTCTCTGGATGAGATTTTTTTTCTGTTACCTTTTCTCTGTTTGTCGCCCTTGGGTCTGCTGACTGCCTGGCTACAGTCAAACTATGACAGAAAACATGTAGTTTCAAACCAAGGAAAGACAAAGACTGGCAAGCAGTGCATTATGAAAAAAAGCAACAATACACAACATAAACAATAAATAAAAATCCATAACAAAAAGATAAAAATGTATAGTGGATCGAGTAAAACAATGTGGGTATGCAACACAGAACGAGAAGCAGGATAGAACGACAAGCCCTTTGTCAGAGATGAGTGTCTGGGGCGAATTCACTATACAATTTTAGTTTTGCCATTTTGGGAGTGGTAATTCATCAAAAGATAATCAAATGATAGAGAAGAGCATTTTAACTGGCTATATATTTAATTATAGCATTTTAAAGCCAGTTCAGGCGTCTGGATCGGAGCAATGTACTAAAACTATATAGTGTAGTTAAAGTACGCCAGATAGCAGTAGTCTACCGCACTGTCCACAATTTGACAATTAAAACCTTTCAAAAGATACAATAGTGTCATGCAAATTGTGTTGAACACCACATTTTTTTAGCTGTTTGCATTAAATTTTAATTAGCATCGTTTTATACCTGATTTGCATAATTCCTTTAGTGAATGTGCTGAAACAACACAGGCAGCGTTGTGCAATTTTAGTGAATTCTCCCCTCTACATTTATACACAAAAAATATATTTAGTGAGCTTTGGGGTCTCCAACCCACAATAAAAGGCCAGAATTATGGGATAATGTACATATTAGGCTGTTTGTTTCAGTGGAATGTGTATCTTAACTCCTGGAGCATCAAATATAATCGGATAACCACAATAAATGTTGATATATACGGTCACCTACATTGCATACATGATCTCTGAGTTCCCTCCATTATAAAGTCATACATTATGTATAAAGGATAATGCGCTAAAAGCCTTATCTGGTCTCTCTGCTATGACAGCCATTGCTGAGTTATACTGCATTATGTAAGCTCTGCTAATAGTCTGTAATCTATTCTACTCAGTTCAATGTTAGAAAAAACACAAAAGGGCAAAATAGACACAAAACTGTCACAAAAATTACTATTATCCCTTCTATGCCATGATCCAGATATGAGCTGCGCTACAATACAGCAGGAAGAGAGTCAGTCCTACATGGTGAAATCTGCAGACATGACATATCTCACTAATTACGTCTTAATTGGCACAGACTGCAAATTAGCATTTTGCCGTGTGTGTATGAGTGTGCAAGAGTCCCATCCCAGCTTTAAGCCCCTTCATTAAGCTGTTTGATGGTGCATCTGCTTCAAGTTCGGTCAACACAATACTCCGTAAAGAAAATATCATTTTCGGTCAACACAATACTCTGTAATGAAAATATAATTTCGGGCCTAATTTTGTGTGGACAAAAGGCAAATACAAGCTCGCAAAAATTGGTTATTCAGTTGATACCCGAGAGGGATGAAGCTCCAGTAAATGAGGAAACTATTATGAGAGAAAATCGACAAGGGTGAAAACATACTCGTCCTCACTGTAGCAAACTGTTTCAAACACCTGAACGTCACAGTTGGGCTCAGATACCAATAATTCAACTCAACTGCAGGGAAACAGTTTCAACGAGGCATAACCAAACACGCTAAGAATAGGTAAACACTCACAGATGCACACTAATGGGTACTTATAATCACACACACTGTGTGAGCACTGATAAATGTTCAGAGCGTAACCTTTAAAGCATGACAATTACAATTTTAGATTCATGAGACCACTCTACGACTGATACTATATATTATCAGTGCTATAGGGTTTTGAAAGATTTAATGAGCCATTTATACTAGAAAGCAGTTTGAATAGTACTAGTTGATAGGGTTCACAGAATGTAATCATGCTTTGGATTAAACTTTCTAATTGCAGATGAAGGCCTTTAACACCTAGATGTAATTTAAGTAGGTGACTCAACACATATTTTAGTTGCAATCATAGTAATTGCAGCAATGTTGTCCAGATTACAGACAAGTTAGCCATAATATATTTTACCAGAAGACTATAGTATAGTTGTCTCTGTACTCTAAAAATATTTTCTTTTAAAAAGCTGCGGTTGTAATTCTTTCCAGGGGTGTAACATAACAAAACAACCTAATGTACAGATCGGAGAAAAAAAAAAAAATCAAATGTGGTGGACAATGTTTTTACATACAAAAACATAATCAAATTTTTTAAATTTTAATATTTTATTGTGAAATTAAATGCATTTACAATTAAACTGTGATTTATATGGCAAATTATATTTTTACCTTAAAAAAATCATAAATTATGCCCTTAATCCTCCTCCTTTCAAAGAAGTTCATGATTTTTTAACCAAACTGTATCACCCTTCATAAGAAAAAAAAATGCATAGAAATGTAGTACATGATTTAAAGTATCAGTCATGTCCATATCATACATTATGTGGGTTATGTGCCTTAGTTTAATACTTTAGGTTAGGAGATTGTTCAAATCTTACATTATTGCTAACTCCGTGCATGTATTTATGACGTTTACTCTTTCGTAAAACAGTCAGTGGGTGTAAGAGCAGAGGTTTTCAGCTAATACATATTTCAAGAGCCAGACTGTTGCCTTCCTCTGCTCTCAAGTTTCCCGCTGTGTTCATTTGTAGGATCCCCATTAGCATGAATAGATTGAACACAGGGTACCAGTCCTTCATCCATTTGGGACCATATGGAGTGCCTCCGCTACAGCTATCAGCCCAGCCAGCATCTTCACTTAAAGGTTAACTGCCTTTCAAACTGCATCAAGCTCCATTCGCACTAACACAAGCAATTTAACGGACTGCAAGTGACTAAGGCGCCTCCACTGTCCCCATAGAAAAAAAGAAGAAGATGAAGCGAACCCGTGGTACAAACGAGAGATTGAAGTCAGCGTATGTAGGAGGGAAATAGAGAGAGAAAGACGATTAGAAGAAATGGACAGTGTCTGGAAGGGGCCATTTGGATGTGTTAGAGACCCCACTAAGCTCACTTTCCTTACCAGCTGCTAGAATTATCCAATGGGATAAAAATAAAGTCTAGAATAAGACAGGAGGGAAAAATGGCTTAGATTTTTCCCGAATGTGCACTCATCTCTTTAATGGCCCACACACACGCCAAACACACTTCTAATATCATCAGTATCACCTTGTTGCTGGAGGAGTATGTGCTTACTTACCGTACACCAATCGGGTTATTCTCATTTTAATGCAGATTTGTGGCCAAATTAAATTTTAAGTGTTTATGATCTTTTAAAACACATTTTGATAAATTTAACCGAAGGTTTTTGTGGTTTATAAGGGTTTATATGTACAGTTTGGTTTTAAATAAAAACTTAAAGGGGTTTAAAACAGCACTAGCACAAGCACAATGTCAACGCAAGGTTGTGTGATTTACAACAGTACACCACAACATTGCAGGGAATATTCCACGCTGAGTTAACAAAATTTAATGTGAAAAAACACCCAACATTTAGTCCTCTACACTTCTTAGACTCCACAAAGTGAGGGTTTACACTGCACCAATGAGAGCCTTCATAAATCAGGGCCATATACCACACGGGGCTGGGAATACTGGGTCTGGTTGACATGCTTACGTTGGCTCTCTTTGTAAACGAAGCTCATTCTCCGTGTTAAAGGCTCAGATTGTCGTGGTGGAGGTGGAGGAGGAACCTGTGAAGTCGGCCGGATTGTTAGAGGGGTTTAATGACCACTGGCATGGCACTTTTAGCACAGATTTGCTGTTATAACGTGATACTTTCTGAGGTAGATGTGGTTTTATGAGGTAGACTGGTCTTTAGAGAAAGTAATGTAGGATCCAAACAAACTGTAAAAGTGCACCTGTGAAAGGTAACTGTGTAAAGTGCACTTGTCTTTTAGATTATAGTTATGTTGATACATATTTGAAAACCACATCTTTATGTGATCACATTCAGTGGAAAATCACTCTCACACCAGTCCTGACCTAAAGAAGAAATCCAAATAATTGATTGTCTTAGCTACTGGGTTATTATAATAATTATGAATGTGAAATCTTTTTTTTTTTTTTTTGCACAGATTTGTTGTTATGACGTTATAGTTTTTGAGGTAGATGTGGTTTCATGAGGTAGACTGGTTTTAGGGAAAGTTATGTAATGTTGAATGGTTATGAATCCAGCAGGATCCTGTAAAGTGCACTTATGTTTTTTTTAGCTTACATTTATCATCATGCATTTGAAAACCACTTCTTTATGAAGGAATTATGAAAAATAAGTGGAAAATTGCTCTTACATTGGTCCTGACCTAAAGAAGAAATCCAAATAATTGATTGTCTTAGGCACTGAGTTATTATAATAATTACAAATGTGCAATTTCATTGTTTCAAACTCTCCTGCACACCATTATCGCTGTAATTACAGCATTGTCAACATAATCAAACCTGTGGAATGAAATCAAAAGAATTGTATGATGCAAGCTGGAAGCTTTTCCATTGGGAATCGAAAGGCGAATGCTACAAGCATCATGACTCATCAATACTGTCAGAAGAACTCTTTAGTGTCAAAACATTTGAAAAGCATTTAGAAAGCATTTGATCCTCTGTAATGTGAGAACATGAACCTCTAATCTAATGCTTGTCTGAAGTTATCCAGTAGTGGTGTGTCCAGACTTTTTTGACTGGGGTGGCCCATGTAGGGTACAGACTCATTGTCAAGAAAAATACTACATATATCTTCACTGATAACTTAAGAGATGGCTAGAATTTTGGGGTGACCAATCAAATCCCTCCAGTGGCCAGGGCCACCCCAGGACACGCCTCTGGTGAAAAGTAATGCAGCACAAGGATCTAATGGGCTGCAATAGGCTGTAACTGAGGCTGCAGACAGCATGATCCAAATGAAAAGTGAGTGAGCATGTGGCAAATGCCACCAAAGTATACACTTGTCGCACATTGCGGGCAGGTAATTTTCCACAGGGCATTTATTTTTAAATCATAATGACAAAAGCCTCTGGACACTGGCGCGTGGATGTTTGCAATGCTCCTTTCGCTAATAGAACATTGACGATTCAGCAGTCTAGCTAATGCAAAGATGAACACTCAGCTCTTTCCAGGGGAAGCAGATAGGAGTGCTGCAGCGGGCAGGTGTACTTTGAGAAGCTTAATGGCAGGAGACTAAATATGATCCAGCTATTAATACTGTATTAATTAGCTTACAAAACACAAGGCTTGGAGAAATGGAAAGTAGTGCATGTGCTGATAAAGATGAGTTTTTCAAACACCAGGTGCATTTCAAACTACTTTTTTTCTCATTTTAAATTCAAGTATCACAATAAAAACTGTTCACTCCCCATTCTTTCTTTTTTTTTTTTTTTTTTACTTTTAAAGGAATAGTTCACCCAAAACTTTTTTTTTTACTTTTAAAGGGATAGTTTACCCAAAAATGAAAATTCTGTTATCATTTATTCACCCTCGCGTCATTCCAAACATGTATGCTTTTCTTTCTTCTGTGAAACATATTGATATTTCTTTAAAAAAAAAAAAGTTCTTGCCCATACATTAAAGTCCTACAGGTTTAAAACAACATGAGAGTGAATAAATGATGACAGAATTTAATTTTTCAATTATCAGATAACATATCCATTTGAATCATTTTTAATATCAAAACGTTTCTGGATTTGAATCCCTGTAATTTTAAAGCAGGTTAAAAGGAATTAAAGACATTACTACACCATTAAAACAAGAAGTTTCCTTCAGTAACAAATTATTTACGTAACTATCATTAGTAATTCATGTATAAGAAACAATTTAGAGCTCCAGTTACTATTGCTTTAAAGCTCCTGCAGCGTTGCACGTGTGAGCATAGTAGTACATTAGCGAGTTTGTGACGCAATTACGCAGGATTTTTAGAAAACACATGGTGAGATTATTTCACTTAAAGTGAACAATTTGACCATGTCAGGGATGGGTATCAGTGTGGGGTTGCAGGTTAGAGGGGTCTTACCTCGAAGGAGGACATGGCAGGGTCCCTGTTATATCTGTCTATGGTGTGGAACTTGGTGGAGTGGTTGAGTTCATGGTAGAGCTCTGAGTGTCTTTTGCGAGTGTGCATCACTTTCTGTAAGGAAGGGGGAAAACAAACAAACAAAAAACAAAAAGAAACAAAAGCAAAAATAAGAAAGGGCAGGCCAGGAAGGAGCTGGGTCAATGGCTACTGGTGTTAAACCGCAAAACCAGGGTCACTATGAACATACATCCTCTCGAAGGGTGGTGTTCTGATTGAGTAGTAAATCGGATTGGTTCTGATGGGTACTAAACAATGTTCAAGCTCTCTGGTCAGTATAATTTCTTACTGACAGACACTTCCACCAGTTCACAGACTTAATTGGAGGTGGTTGGAAGCTGGCTGGGCTGTTTTGTAGTCACAGCTGGTGTTCACGCAGAGCTGACATGGAGCTCCGACCTGAGAATGTAAGCATCCATGTACTAGGGTTGATTTCTGAGAAATAATGGAATTTTGGGTTTATTTTGCTTTCTATAAATGGTTACTGTATATAACAATTCTCATTTATTTTAGGGCTACCAAAGTTAAATATATGAATTTATAAAATGTTTACATTTTATGGCATTTAATGTAGCACATTCACCCATTTAACTTCATTATGCTACAAATGCCAAACCAGATCAGTTTAACCAGGCTGTGACACTAACTGCTTTTTTCTCACCAGAGCAATACCTATTTTAGTTTAGTTTAGTTTTATTTTGTTTTTGTTTTCAAAAGGAATTTGATGAATTAAAACTAAATGCACTACATTCCTATGTATTTACAGGGATATTTCAGCTAATTAACTTTTCAAAATGAATCCTTGTAACAAAACAAATTATTATCTAAATCATAATTTTAGTCTACTGTCAACCTCAATTGTTTATCAGGACAGGAGGGAGAAGATCTCATGCAGCACTGACTAGGATGGAAAAGGTTATGAAGCTCTAAAAGCATCTGAATGCGTTAGTAACAAGACATACCTTTGTTTGAGAAGAAGCCTCCAGAAGCTGGTATGTGTTTGTGATGTGACCCTCTCTCTCTCTCTCTCTCTCTCTCTCTCTCTCGCTCTCTCTCGCATGCTCTCTCTCTCTCTCTCGCTCTCTCTCTCTCTCCCTACCGTTAAGTAACTTGTGCATTGTTTTACTTACTTGTTTTTGACTTTGCGTGAACATTTGGGCGGCATTATGCAAATATTTCCACATAGTGAGGTAGATATGTGGGGGCGTGTTAGAACGAGCCGTTTTAGGGGGGCGTGGCAGTCTTAACTTTGATAAAGTATATCTCTTTGGCTTTGAGACTTTAGTCTTTGCAACTTCAGGGATCTTATCTATGCACAATCAGCTTGTAACACTCCAAAGAGAAAGGAAAACTTGAAATCGCATCATATGACCCCTTTAAATTAAATACTGTCAAACTAATGACGTCCCCACGAAAGACCATGTAAATGTTAATGGACAGGACAGGGGGGCACTGTCCTGCAGAGTTTAGCTTCAACCCAATTAAACACACCTGAACCAGCTAATCAAGGTCTTACTAGACATACTAGAAACTTCCAGGCAGACATTTTGAGGCAAGTTGGAGTTAACTCTGCAAGACATTGGCCCTCCTTAACCAAGTTTGGACACCCATGGTTTAGGACAAACCAGTGACTCAACTGTTGATATTCTAGGTAGGTTGACCTTCTACAGCTCATTCAGGACAGTACTAAATAAATAGCATACCATTGTAATAATCATTAACATCTTTCATATTCCACCAGGGGGGTGTAAACTTATGTGCAGAACTGTATTTACACACACAAACGCTTATACATATGCATAGTTTAATTTTATTATATATATTTCAAAATGCAATATGTGGTCACCCTATTTTGAAACAATGCCGAAAAAGCCTAAGAAATCAAGGCATGTGAAACACTAAGCAGTTCTGCCATGGATAGGACTGTTGCTAATACTAAATGCATGATGGGGGAAACAAGCACCAGAGCAGCAACTATCATTGGCTCCTGTATGCGTCCATTGAAAAATCTCTAGATAATGTTGGACAGAAGCACAAACACTAGTCTGAGGGCAGATGGGGACGGGGTCTTACCTCAAAGTCCAGCTCAGAGTACCGTACTCTTTTTCTCTGGGGGAAGGGGGAGAGAAGACACCATCAATTACAACTGCACATCTTTCAGCACATGAGTAAACTGGCGCCCATGACGCATTTGTCTCATGCAGGTGCAGTGAGCATTTAATTCCCCTAAGGGGGAGGGGGAGGGGGAGGGGGAGAGAAGACACCATCAATCACAACTGCACATCTTTCAGCACCTGAGTAAACTGGCGCCCATGATGCAATTGCCTCATGCAGGTGCAGTGAGCATATAATACCCTTCAGCTGAACTGCTTTTCCAGTGGGTGTTTTATGTTTGGATTGAAACCGAACTTCACCGTGAACACAGGAAAGGCGTATTTGCCTTCAACAACAAGTGAGTGTATGGCGGGCGTCTTACAGCATAAGAGAAGTGCATAACAATGTCTATATTAAAAAGAAAAAAAAATGTAATGTGTACTTTTCAAATCATACCTGAAAATGGTTACATCTAATACAATATATTTAATGACATCATTTTAGGATATTTTACTGGCATCTTTATGTGGGTCACTGAAAATTTCAAACAGGCCAGATTGGGCCACTGGTTGGATAGGCCTTGGATAGGATTTTCCTCCATAAAACAGCATAAGTGATGATGATATGAGCCTTTGAATAAAAAATAAATAAATACTCTGTCTGCATATAATGTAAACAGCAGAAGCGGTAGAATGTTTAGAAAATGGCATAATATTTTATAAATGTCTCAGTCTGTAAACATCTCTAATCTTCTGTAAACACCAAAACCACTTGCTCGGTAGGAACTTGCTTAGTTCTAACAAAATTTGTTTGTACTTCTGCACTTTGCATAGTAATGTACAGGGTTTCAAATTAACTTAATGCTCCACTTGGTGAGTCGGTTGAGAAGACCAACGGGCATTAAATGTTTGTTATAGGCCCATGAATCTGTATTTTCATTACTTTTTATTAAAGAACAACTTCACAGATTTTCAACCAGCTTTGTGTTGTTACAGTGTTGGTAGTATAAATGAACAATGTGTACTCTTTCTCCATGTTACCAGCACCTAGTTTATTTTCCCCATTACAAAGGTAACAAAAAAAAAAAAACCTGAATGAAAATCCTTTATTAACATATATTTGTCCTTGGAAAATGGGATTACTTAGCTACCTTTTCTGAGCAGATTAATGACCTAACATTGCAGGTCATTATGTCACTCATAGCAACACATACAGGATGAGCCAATCTGTGTCTCTCAGTGACATGACAAATGTCACAAAAAAATGTGACGACCTATTGCGGTAAGGGGTGTTTTCCTCACATTTCCATTTTATTGGCTAATACATACAGTATAATAGGACACACATAATGTTGCCACATGGAGTTCTGTAGAAAATAACTTCTGATCTAATATATTAATTATATAATATATAAACTTCTAAAGTCGGAAGACATTTAAATCATAACAAAAGTTTTCATTAGTAGAATACTTGCATTTAAGACTGAATGGCTCAGCAAGGATAAGACTAACATACTGAAACTAAGCAGATCTATATGTTTCTTGGCAATGACATTTGACACTTACAAGTATTAATTTTGGACTCTAGCACTGTAGCTTTGTATTGTAGTTAGTGCCCATTAAGTGTTATACTGTATATGCACCTCCGAAGGGTTTCCTATCCTGTAAATCAATCTAAAAAGCAAACAGAATATGTCCATTTCCTGTTGTATTTGAAGCTTAAAATTTCATATAAGAGACAGTCTATAATAAAAAGTCTAAGTTCTTCGGAACACTCTCACAAATACAGTTAACCAATAGTGTCAGTACACATGGTGGCGATTTGTCACAAGCTCAGACTCACAGAACACAAATCAGTCAAGACCTGGGCCTATGCTACTATGCCACTCACAAAGGGAGGATGAGTCACGATGTTTACTTTGTGAGAAGTTAAGTGTGAGAAGTTAGTTGTTGACAAAGTTACTTCAGGTGTCACTGGGTGAGTGAGGTGAGAGGAAGCCAAAGCACGACAAACTCCACCAGTGTTCAAGCCAAATAAATTATCAGTACTTTAGGTACCTTTCCCTGAGTGGTCCAACCTTATGAATACCAAACCTGAGTCAGTGAGTTCTTTAGAAGAAAAGTGAAGTAAAAAAACTGGTAAAATGCAGCCTTTCCATCTTGATGACTGATATGAAATGAATATACAAAATGGTGTATACTCTAACAACCTGTGGCTGCATTTACAGGCACTTATGAGTAAGTGAGACACAGATAGATGGAGAATGATTGAGAAACATTTAGTGTATTTTATAGGTGGTCAGCTATCAAAGCATTAATTAGTTTTTTAAAGTCAACATGAAATTAATATTTTGCTTCCATAATATAATTAATTTCAGAGTGAATGAGGTATTCAAGGATGGAAAAAAAAAAAACACGACCAAACATTTTTTATATGAGATTTTCTTCAATTAACGGAAATACAGGATGATCAATTAGCATTTGGTCCCAAACTAACTAGGCCTTATAAACAAAAGATTAATGTATGGAATATTTTAACCTGCCTTACTTATACCCCCTTTGCGGTATTATTATTATTAGTATATTTTATAAATTTTTTTGTGATTTATTTGATAAAATTATAGCTAGGAAACATTAAATCACTGTTTAAAATGGAAGAAAAAAGTTTTTATATTAGTTTGAGCTCCTGAGACCATGCTTAAGCACCTCTTTTCATTGATCATTTGCAGTTTCATACCCTATTTTGGTTGGTAAAAAGAGCTGAAAAAAACCTACACATTTTATGTTGACTTTAAGTTTGGCAACTGACTTTAGTTAGAAATTCATGCCCCAGCCCCAAGAACTATGTGTCGGAGATAGAGAGGGAAGGTTTTGTGTCCGTTAATGAAGGAGTGCAGGCTCTCTCAGGCACTTCTTCTGGCTGTTTCTCTCTCACCATCTGCTGTTTCTCCTTGTGGGGCTGTAGTGTAATTATAGAGAGAACAGCAACTGCACACACACACCGATGCAGTCACTAAGTTGTGTAACATCATGTTGACAGGGGACTCTGGGTATAGAAGGCACACTTGAATGCATTCCTGTGACAGACTGATGAGAGAGTTGCTAGATGATCAGTATGTATGGTGTCTCAGGGACTACAGATGATGTAGCGTCATCCGGCCCCGAAATGAAAGGAGACATTACTAATAAGATAATTCAGCCTCAGTATTTCTCTCTTGTAACAACAGCTTTAAAGTATTCACCCTGATGTTATTCCAAACCTGACTTATGTTCTTCTGCTGACCACAAAATATGTAATTCTGGAAAGCAAATGGGGTCTAGTGTTGTTTTGGACCCTAGTGACTTTCAAAAAAACCTTCAAAATATCCTTTTTTGTGTTTCACAGAGGAAAGTCAAACATGTTGGGAATGACGTGAATGATGACAATTTTAATTTTGAGAGAACTAGTAAGAAATTGTCTGTTGCTAGGTTAGGAATGTACAGTTTTTTTGTGTTTGGGTTGGTGTGTTTCGCAATCACTGCATTCATGCTTGTTTTTGTCTTGGTGATGTTTTTGTGCAGATCTAACTGACATTTTCCTGCCATAATGATTATCTGTGCTATGTGGGCCCCAGTTCCCTTTTCCTGGCAAGAATGCTAGGAGTTTACAACACTATTGTGCTCCTAGGTTGTACGCCAAAACTGCAAACTGCAGGTGGTTTCCAAAATACCCTGGGACATTCAGCAGTGATGATTCTGAAAGAATGAACCCCTTTTTTAACCCTTACTTACTTCCAAAGATCCAGCTGAGAGGCTGGTGTTGGTGCTGCCCAGGTTGCGGGGAAGGGTTCTGGTGCGCTCCACTGTTCCCGAGGTGAGGATCTGCCGGACAGAGGGACGATTCTGCTTGACCTGCAGGGTGTGGGTGTTGGTGTGGGAATGCGTGTGCCCGGTGTGGGCCGGCAACTGTTTGAGTGTGCCGTAGGAGCGGTTTAGGTTCATGCTGATGTGGTCCACAGCTGCAAAGTCTGCAGGGTATGCCTCACTCTCTGCTGGATGCAGAGTCATGGGTGAAGGGGGTGGAGGAAATGGAGGGTCGTCTAGTGTAATGTTCAGGGGCTTCCCCTCATCTTGGGTTGGAGGAGGGGGCTTGAGACTGACTGTCCGACGTGGCAACACCATGTAGTCCCCTTCCCCACCTCCACCACCAGCTGAATCCTGGGTGGAAGAAGGGTTTGGTCGGGCCCAACCCAGCCCGCTCTCCGTGCACAGGTAGATGGGTCCAGATCGTTGATGCTGACCTTGTTGCTCCACATTAACGTCCTTCTTTAGTGGCTGCTCACTTAGCTCATTCAGCGGACCCAAAGGAGGTACCTGCACCAGGAGATTAGGGGGTGGGATGTTCCCAGGCAGGCTGCTGAAATTAACACCTTCCTGATGAGTTGCCAACTTGGGGTCGTCCTCATCGTCCAGGGAGATGCGGGATAGAGTGCCAGTTATGGTAGCAGGGTTACAGGTGTTTACCTCCTTAAAAATGACTGAGGTAGAAAGGAGAAAGGAAGAGAGAAAGAGAACAGATAGACAGAAGTGGGGAGGAAGAAAGAGACAGAAACAGAGGTCGAGTGCACATGATCACACAGATGGACAGAGCGGCAAAGAACCGAGAGAGAAACAGATCATAACGCAGTTGGATGCCAAAACAGCACATGACAAAAAAGGAAAGGGGTGGGATGGAAGATGGTTACAAAGCAGTTCCCAAAGGTACAGAGCCCAGATGTTTTGGGGAGAGGTTGAAGCAGTGACAGAGTAAGCAAGATTGATTTGAGTGGGTGCAGAGATAATGTGATCGGTGGAGGGAATGATGGGAAAAGAGACAAAAGAAAATGAGCTCAGTTACAATGCATGGAAATGGAGTGTGTCAGTGCAGAGTTCAAAAGAGCAGGTAAAAGTAAGGCAGTGAGGGCAGGAAAGGACAAACATTTTCAGGCAGGTGAATTATTATCCAGGAGTCTCGGCATGCAGAAGTTGGACGGTTGCAAAGGTTGGTGCCCCAGAGGTGTTACAGTAGGAGTTCACTTGAATTAGGTAGGGTTAGGAAGGAAAGCCATGCACAAATCAGCTTGTCTAAGAGAAAAACCATCAGCCGTAATGGCCTACCAGTTTTATACATCATTAATAAGGTCACATTTAACAGCCAACATAACTCAGTCCAAAAGGTGAAAGAAAATAAATGAATACAAGACAAGTGCATATATTTAAAATAACATACTTAAAGGACATAAAAAGGAACCTTCCTTTGATTTTGTCTTATTTTGAATTTTATAAGGTCGATATTACAGCAACGGTAGTTTATAATCCACAAAACTGATACAAATTTGTGTTTCTATTCCTATAATGTTCAGGTTACAGACCAAGATAAGTACAGACATTAATAAACCTGCCATGCCAACGCTGCAACACAGCCTTTTTCTGTGAAACTAGTAACATGATCAAGTTGGTTTAGTGTTAAAACTAAACCTGCCAATTACGGTTCTTGGAACTTGACATTCCAAGCTAAAATGAAAAGGATAGTTCACCCAAAAATGAAAATGATGTCATCATTACTCACCTTCATGTCATTCCAAACCCATAAGACCGTTCATCGTTCATCTTCGAAACACACATTAAGATATTTTTGATGAAATTCAAGAGCTTTCTGACCCTGCATAGACAGCAACGCAACTACCACGTTAAAGGCCCAGAAAGGTAGTAAGTACATCGTTAAAATAATCCATGTGACATCAGCATTTACAAAGCTACGAAAACACTTTTTGTGCGCAAAGAAAACAAAAATAACTTTATTCAACCATTCTTCTGATGTCACATGGACTATTTTAATAATGTCCTTAACTACGTTTCTGGGCCTGGGAACATTTCAGTAACATTGCTGTCTTTGCAGGGTCAGACAGCTCTCGGCTTTCATCAAAAATATCTTTACTTGTGTTCCAAAGATGAACAAATATCTTACGGGTTTGGAACGACATGAGGGTGAGTAATTAATGACAGAATTTTCATTTTTGGGTGAACTATCCCTGTAAGGCTCTAGTATGCGAAAGTAGATAAGGATATGACAATCAAAAAGCAGGCATGCACATTTGTATGTCAGTTTATGCAAATCAACAAAATGCTATAGTCTAACTAACACAAATGACATACAAACAGGAATGTTCTAACTTAAGAGTGAGACTTACATGGGTGTCCTCTTTCTGCAGGTGAGGGGGAGACAATGATGTGCAGGGTTAACTTTACATGAACATATTTGACCAAACAAACTGCATTAGAACCAGGGCAAAGTGAAAAAATGGTGAGGAAAGTGCAAGAATGAGAAAGCAAAGAGGTCCCAGAAGTACTTACCTGTTTGACACGCTAAGTCCACATCTTTTTCAAAGTCCGTCTGTGTAAGTGAATGAAGGAAATAGAAGAGATTACTTCAGCTTGTTACAAATGGCATGCTGTCCACAAGTGAACTAAACATATAGAGACCAATTCTTCATCATTTACATTTGGGTCATACAGTTTATGTATGATGAAGGGTGGAGCTAATCTGTTATAGGCAGTATGTGGTGGTTAAAGAGTCCATCAAAAATAAACAAGTTGTTCATTTTAGCAATCATCATGCTGTGTTTCGACAAAGCACTAGTCTAGTGCAACACATCTGCAACACCTCTACAGTAAATAGCAGATCCCTTGGCACCAGCACTAATTACAATGAACCAAAGTGAACATAAATTAGCATACCGCAGTCTGACACAGCTGGGCTTGACTTTCCAAACAAACAAAGCTGATATTATTTTCATGAAAAAGGGGAGGACTCTTAAAAAAAGGTACAGTACAGTGGACACAAACTGAGTCCCTCAGGGTAAACCGAAAATGTCCGTCCTAGAGCAGCTCTTTTTAACTCCAGGCCCTCATTGAAATGCAGCGTTGGCTATTGCTGCCAAAAGAATTGACTCTCAAAGGAGTTCAAAACAAAGCTTTAGTCAGGGCATTACTCTATGGAACAATTTTAGCATGCCCTAGCGAGAGCAACCGGTATGTATGCGTATACCTGCGTGTTGAAGTTAAAAGAAAGGGGCATGAGACAAGAAAAGAGACCTGTGACTATGCAAAACTTTTACTGCACAGCCATGGAATCTAAGCAGTTACTTTGCACTAAATAACTTGCTGACAGCTAACCACTTATCTAATTAGCTGGCTAAAATGCTCACGCTAGGCTGTCAGCTACACTCTAAAATTGACAGCACTAAATCTAAAGCAAACACGTGCAATAAAGCACATTTCAGAGACGTACGGTCATGTGATTGTGCTTCAAGACAAGGCTCTGGCTCTGGTGGAGAACATGGGCATGGTTGTGGTTAAGCGTATGCAAGTGGTTGTGGCTCAAGGTGTGGGTGTGGTTAAGACTATGGACATGGTTGTGGTTGAGGTTGTGGGCATGGTTGTGATTGAGAAGGTGGGTGTGGTTTAGAGTCTGAGTGTGGTTCTGGTGGAGAATGTGGGTGTGGTTATGGTTATGTCCATGACTGTGATTGGCCAAGGCTAGAGGAGGGTGGGCGGTGCAGGTTTGGTGGCAGCCTTGGCAGCACCCAGGTGAATATCGGAGCGAGCCGCACTGCTCCTGACTGTAGAGGCTCGGATGGTGTGGGCTCCTCTGCCGGCAAAGAGGCAGAATGGAGAGAAAGGTAGGGAGAGAGAAAAAGTGAGGGGTGAGTTGAAGTGAGGAAGCCGAAAGGTGGAGCAGACCTGCAGGGGCGGTGATCCCTCTCATCCAATCTTATCCACACACACACTTGGAGAGTTCCTGCTGTAGTTGCCATGGCTACATGCAAGTCTAGTCTTTGAAATCACTGCAAGGCACTGGGTAAAGGGCTTAAAAACTATATTAAAATACCCCATAAGGTTATAAGTTACTGACATTCTTGATTGCTTTTTTGTATTGGATATAATTACTGGTAATTTTATTCACAACTAGTTGACCTTTCAAAAAACAAAAAAAAAAAAAAAAAAAAGAAATTCAATATGTGCAATGCTATTCAAAATGTTTCAGATTACATAAGGCACCTATTATGCCTATATGTAATATAAGTCTCAGGTGTCCCCAGAATGTGTCTGTGAAGTTGTAGCTCAAATACCCCACAGCTAATTTATTATATCATTATTAAAATGCCTATTTTGAGTGGAAACAGAAACTCACTGTTTTCATGCATGTGCCTTTAAATGCAAATGAACTGCTGCTCCCCACCCTGTTTTCCAGAATAGGGCTGTGCCTTTACAGCACGTTCCTCAGATATTCTGTAAAAAAAACATCTTTTTGGTTTTGATTATCATGTCTATTGAGCTGAAATCATGCGTTTTAAAGCCGTATCAGTTTAAACTTCTGATAAACTTTTTTTTGAGCGCACACATCAGAAGCATGCGCACAGAAAGCGGCTGTCACACGGCATGTGAGTACTAATCTAAGTTCTCTTTCATGTCTTATTGCACTTAAACTTGTCAAATACACACAAGTTCATGTTAAAAACACACATAAGTTACAAAAACACAGTCTGTTATGTCTATGAAGATAAACAGCTGGGAAAGAAATCACATATTTATATTTTACCTGCGTATTAAGCAGTGGTGGAGGTAACGAATTACAACTACTCACGTTACTGTAATTAAGTAGTTTTTTCGGGTACTTGTACTTTTTTGAGTATATTTTTAAAGCTGTACTTTTACTTGTACTTAAGTACAAATTAAGCAAAATAATCTACTTCGTTACTTTTAAAATCATAGTTCGTTATGGAGTACGCCCACAATTTGAATTGATATTCAAACCTTTGACGGCACTTCAGTAGCTAATAAAGATATCCGACCGTAAACGGACCAATAAAAGCCCTGATATCTGAACCGGGAAAAGCCGCCGCTTTTCCAAGCTGCGTCTCTCTCTCCTCTCAGACAGTGAGTTTGGCACGCATCCGCCTCCTGTCAATTACAGAGTCTGAATGTCCGCGCAGGATTGCAGGTATTCCGCATAATTTTTATCATTCCCACGCAAATGTGGAGAGCGCTTTATTGTAACATGAGAACACAGTCATGTAAGCGCAGAAAACTGGATGCAAGCTCTCAAATAGGCCTAACTTATACAAATGAACTGCCTGTCCTCTCACTCCGACATTGCTTGTGCGCACTCTGTGTGCATTCGCGATCTCTCCGTACTTTTAAAGTAGAAATTAT